TAAAGTGTTGAGGAAATCATAAACTTTTTTTGTATTAACTGAGCTATAATATTTTACATGTTCAAATGATATTTGATATATCAACTGGAAAATTAAACTTAGGAAGTTTAAAGCTCAAATTAAATTTAAAAAAACATAACTCAAAGTACTTTCAAATGTAAAAAGTTTCTTTAGCTGTTTTAATCAATTTAATAAAATAAATATTCTTTAAATGTCAAGATCTTTTGACCCACTTTGGTGACATTTTCACCGTGCATGCTGTCTCTTACCCCCACTCTACCCCTCTCTTTCTCCTCCTGCTGTTGTTGTCTTATCAACACATTGTCGCCAACATGCAGGCGGCTCATGAAATGAAACGAAAATATTGAAGCTGTCCTTTGTGGCGTTTGGTCCTTTATCGAGCGCCGCCCACCGAAATGTCCTGCTCTCATAACATTTCTAAAGACAAAAACTGTAAAATCGAGATACAATTGCAATGCAGAAGTGGCGGGAAAGGGAGCGCTGTATCCAGCGGGAGAAAGAGACGGAAAGAGGACGGCGAGAACCACTCACGTGTGCTCTCTGTGTGCGAATTTTTGTTGATTTTCATGGCATATTTTACACTGGCTGTAAATACACACGCATACGTGGGTGTGTGTGTGTGTGCGTGGGTGTGGGTGTGTTCGTGGGTGCAGCAAGAAATAAAATTGAAATGAAATATGCAAACACGAAAAATATGCGCCAGCCCGAAAATATGCTTCGAAAAAATTGCCAGTTCACAGAGGCACCCACACGGATGCAGATGCAGATGCACACCAACACGAGTACATTCGCATTCATGCACCCACACTGTTGCACTGGCCACTCGGCTGCGATTTATTGCATTATCAATAAAGTGAATAAATTTTGAGGTTATTGTGGCGTGATAACGGCAATTTTTGTACTTGCTCTTGTTTCTCCGGCATACCTCCGTCCTTCGTCTGTGTGCGTATTCGTTTGCCTATGTGTGTGTGTGTGCGTTGTGGGCGGGTGCATCTGCGTTGGTGTGCGTGAGAATCGTGGAATGGTAATACTGTGTAAATGGCGCTGTTAATTAAAAAATCACACCCATGCGTATCGCTGTTGCCAACAATTAACTGATTAAATGCTTAAGCCGCTTGGCTTAAAGACTTCCCATACAAATTGAAAGGGTGTAGAAGGGATTCCAGCAAAGGTCCTCGCATGCAAAAACAGTTTACTTGTATTAAAAAGGAGAATAAGAAAATAGTTAATATTAAAAAAGTTAAATGAAAAGTTGTGAGAATAAATATGACCTCCTAAACTGTTAATCTGTTTCAACAGCATGAATTTCGTATAGATTTATTTAAATAATTAACAAATTAATAATCTTCTTCAACCATAAAATATTTTTTAAATTCCTTAATCAAAAGAGAAAGATTTAATAATTTAATTAAACTTCATGAATGAATATAGCTCGCTTTCATTCATTAAACCTGTTTTATTACATTCATTTCTTAATTTCCCCGAAAATGTCTGCCAATTCTGTCAATTAGCCCACAACACAAATTCCCCTCTTAATGGCCAAATTGTTTTTTAATTAGCGGTTAATAATCTGCAAATTTGGCATCAACAACTGATGATCAAGGCCTTTGTGTGGCAACATGGCAGTGGTACGAGTATGGAAACATCGCTACGGTCATTCGGTTTTTCCTATTAACAAGCCCACAGCGAGCTCTTCTTTGTTTACATTCCCACAGAATACCGAAATCGCCAGAATGAGTCAGGGAAACCTCACACTTCTTATTGGCCAGCTAATTCATGCGGAAATGCAAATCCAAATTCAAAACCAAAACCGAAAGCAAAGCCAAAACCGAATCTCAAATCCGAAAATCCAGTATTGGATCTTGGAGTCTGAGTTTCGAGTGCGTATGCAAATCAACGTCGGCGACACGGCAACTGTTTGAACTATGAATTTCTCGCCGTTTGTGTTTATGGAAATTTCGGGAATTATGCAAAATGCTTCTGACTCACGCACACCCACCCACGCAGTGTTGTATATGTGTATATGTGTGTGCATTTGTATTCTAACACCTCTTTTGTGCGTGGGTGTTTGTGCGGCGATTGTTTGCCCCCCAATGTATGAGTTATAATATGTTAATCGCTACCGTTTGCCTGTTTGCATATTGAATAATTGCCGTTATGTGTGGGCGATTCGGGCCTTTTGTTTGTTGTTGGTCAATAGGTTCTATTATGGAAAAATTGGCGGACACATCAAAATGTCAACAGATCAAACAACGGCGACACCGCTGCGCCACTTTCAACATTAGCTTTTCGATGATCTGGTGAAAGGGTTTTGCGCCGCGGGAGGTTTTGACGTTCATGATGACGACAAAAGGGGCGCTTTATGTGCCACGCCCACCCCTTTTCCCATGCCCCTTTCCCGCCCAATGTCAGGCCACAGCCAACAAGCGCCGGGAAACGTTTTAATAAATTTGTAAACAGATTTGTTAATTTCAGCATAAAATTTTGATGAGAATTCAGCCATATTGTGCACGGTGCTCTCCTGGAGAAAGCCTTCTATCTCTCGCTGCGGGTGTGTGGGTGTGTGTGTGCGAGCGAGTGTGCGTGCGATGGTGTTAAGTATGCGTGTTCAACACAAATAACGATAAAAACACAAAGTTAACTGCAGACAGACAGTAACTGCGAAAAACACTCGGAGAAAGTATTAATTATATTTAATTTCTAGGATTTTCTCTTGTTTTAAAAATTCTAAGAAATTGTTTTTTTAATCCAGTTAAATGGTTAAGAAATAAATAGGAATTTATCTCTATTATTATAGCTCTTGGTTAGCTGGACAGATTTCTTTCTCTGTAGGAATGAGCGAGCGTTGACTCGGATTTTTAAGGCAGGCAAATGAAACTCCCGCCGCAAAGCTTGTATGTGTGTGCGGGTGTGCGTTGGGGTGTGTGCGTGTGTATCCTTTAAGCACAGCATCACCATCAGCAGGAGCAGCAGCAACAACAATGTGGAGAAAAGGCGTAAGAATTTAATGAAAATCATCAACAAAGTGGAGGCCATTAAGGGGCGGGTGTGCGAATTGGGGCGTTTTGGGGGCTGGAAATGTAACCAAGTTTATGATGAGCCACGAAAATTAAGACTACAAATGTTTGTTTGGCTTAAATGAGTTTGCCTTCGCCTGGCGACAGGTTGTTTTTGTTTTTCTTGGCCTTAAAATAAAAATAAAACCGGCATGTTGTGTTTGGTTCTTCCCTTTTTTCTGGTGTAAAGTTTAAACGCCAGCGAGACAGTTTACATAATAAATGAAAGGGGAGTGGTGGTGGGCTTTTTATGGCCATGTTAATTATTAGATAGAATTTGAAATGAGATTTGAGCTGAAATGGTCAGCAAATGTTGGCTGGCCGTCAGCCGGTCGCAACGATTCGCCATAATCATAAGCGTAATGACCATGGCCAAAACAGTGTCAATGATGCCCGAAAAGTTGGCGCAATGGAGCACGAAACTAATAAGGATAATGCGCGGGTCCTTCGGCCGGCGTTTCCACCAGCCAGCCAGGAAGCGCGAGACATCAGCAAAAAATAAATTCCAGCCAGCTCCTAATTGCATTGCAACAGTTTTCATGTCGCTTCTGCCGCTTCTGACTGCAATTATCGCGAGTGTGCGAAAAACCGTTGCGTTCAGTGGGTGGTTCGGTGGTTCAGTGGTTGGGTGGTTGGGTTGTCGAGTGGTGCGTGGCACTTGGGTGGTGCACCATAAAAATGCTGCCTCATCTGCCTTGCGGCTTCCGCGAGTGCAAAGTGCCACAAAAGCAAGCGCATAAAACGCGACATCGCTTTTGGCAAACATTTTCCGTGTTGCGCGATGCTTTCAGCAGATGCGAATGATATTTGCCGTCGGTTTATGCGAATTTTTTCCAGTCAGCCAACGAACGTAATTGTAATGAAACCCTGCAAAAATAATCGCAAAGCCACATATGGATATCGAAATGCGCTTAGATTTTCACAAAAAGATTGCACATGTTTAAAAGTGTTTCAGCAAACGTGGCTCAGCATAAATTTTCTTCTCGTATTTAATGCAATCTGCATTTACTCGACTAAAATGTTTATTCGATTTGAAATAAACGAAAAAATTATTTATAATTTTTATGCATTCTTTTATAGTTATTAATGGTTTTACATTTCATTTTACATTCTTCAATATAAAATAATTTTCCACAAGAGTTAGGTGAACGTTTATGTTAAATGATGCTTAACTATTTTACTTTAAGTTTTATTTACTAGTGACTTTCATTATCGAATTTCAAAGAATAAATTATTAAATAGTCTTTACAAACCAATTTAAGAGCTGATTTAAATTTTTGTGCGATTGGAACTTTTTAGCTTGGTTTCATTTTCCACATCCGGTTATTTTTTGTTAGGAAAACTTTACCGCATAATGTGCTATTTTTCTGGCACACATTTTTTGCTCAGCTTGAATGTAGGCAACACAATTTAAATAAATTCGAGCTAATTTGTAAAAAGTTTGTTTGGCTTTGCGTTCGCCCTTGCTATCGCTTTTTTACGATTTAAATATGCTGGGCTATTAAATTTACTTTTCGGGGAGGACGTTCCCGAGCTGACAGTTTCCTACGCCTCGTTTCAATTTGTTTCGTGCTGTTGGCTTGTTAGCCGCCCGCTGGCGTGTCCTTGCCGCTTGGTCCTTGGTCCTTGGCCCTTGGCCCTTAACCGCTGGCCCTCCGTTAGCCCAAAAACTGCGCTAAGCTATACATCAATGGTGGGCAGTCAAGAGAGAAGCGTCGACAGGCGACTGTCAGCGTCAGTGTTGTCACAATTATCTACATGAGGGGAAAAAATACCCCAAATAAATGGGGAAAATGTGGCTAAAATGGTGATTGAATGCGGCTTTAAAGTGGCTTTGTGGTGCATAAAAGAATAAATCCCTGGTTTTAGAGTAATTACTATTTAAGTTAAGTTTGCAATCTTCTAAAGAAAACCACTCTGTAATAGTCATAAAAAATAATATTTGTAGTTTACAATTATTAAGTGACAACAGCAAAAAAGTATACTATAATTTAAAAATATTTGTAAGGTCTAATCTTTTGGTAGAAATATTCTGTTTTACAACAAGTAGCTTATTTATAAGTTCTGATATATCTTTTGATCTTTTCTTTTTTAAAAACTTCTCTAAAAATGTTTCGAACTGCAATAGGTCCTTTTAAAAATACAAAATGACAACACTACGCCGCGTGTTTCCGCTTCGCGGCAGAGATTAAAATTTTTCAATTTCCCCCCGCCGCTCTGTTTGTTTATTTGGTGGGGCGGCGGCCCAGTAATCAGTGGGGCACTTCCACTTCCCCTGCTTAGTGGCAAACGGAGATTAATGTTTCGGGGCCCCGTTAGCAGTGACTAGCTCAATCCGCAAGGTGGCCGCGATGCTCATTGGGCCTTATGAGTTTTCCAATTAACTTAATGTGCATAAAAAGCAAGGGCGGCCGCAAAATGCACACGCAAACGCTTAAAACGTGAAACGAGCAAAGGGAATGGAGAGGGGGTGGGGGTGGGTGGAAAAGCACCGTGGAAAACAAACAGAGAAATGCGTTGAAAATTTATGACATCTTGTTTTTTATGGCCAGAAGCTGAGGGCCGTGGAGCGTGGATCGTGGAGTTGAGTTCGCATTCGATACGCGCTCGATTGGCCCTTGGACCCTTGAGGGCAAGGGGGTGTGTGCGGAGTGTGTGCGTGTGTGTGTGTGTGTGCTGTCAATTCAATCAAACGTTTCATACATCAGCGGACACACCGAGTCCCCAGGAGAGAGTGGAAAGTCGTTGCGTACCGGACGTGTTTTATACTCGAGTGCGCGAAAACAAGTTTCCTACGTTGTGATCCGCGTGTGCGACATCTAAAATTGAAGAGAAGGGGTTGTAGCGACCCATAGTTGTGGAAGGATAAACATACCAGTGTGCGGAGGTCTTCCCTGGACCCCAGAATCCCTCTGGCTCCAGTAGCGTCGGCTCGGCACTGGGACGAAGGGGTGATACCCCCCTGCAGGTGAGTGAAAGCCCTTTTCACTCAATTTTCCGAATTGGGTGATTAGGTCTGCCATCTTCGTGGTCAGTTGACTGATCAGCTGCGCTGCAGAGTTACCAACTTTTGCGCAAGCGTTAGCCGAGCTGCCAACTCGCGGGGAAAGCTCTAAAGCAAGCTCTCCTCCGACCAAGTATAGCATATTTTTAGGCGACAGGTAGGAGTCAAAAGATTTAAAGGATGGCGAGCCGTGGCCCTGGCCCGGTTAGCATAACTAAGGAGACGACTCAGGGCAAGGCCAAAAGCGCAGCAGATGAAGACTCTGCTGCGCCGGAAGCTGACCCATTTAGGAAGAGTAGCAAGATGGGGAGATCACCGACAAAGGTGCCAAAATCTCCACCCATCTTCTCGCCTGCAGTAGAGCAGGAACAGGCGGATACGGCGCATGCTGGAGGTCCCACAGAAGCGGGGGTCTTCCATTTCAGCGCAATTTCCGAGCAGGGACTGGCTCCGCTTATCGCCAATGGCGACATAGACGGAGTTGTTGGAGCGATCGGGGCGAAATTGTCCCAGCTTAACAGTATGATGTTAGGCAAGACGAGGGTGATGGTGACGATTCCTATGAAGGAACTCGTGCAGCAGGTCATCGCCCTCCAAAAGTCAGCAGTCAGGATTCTGGAGACGGCTCCAAAAAATCCCAGTGAGCAAAAGCCCACTCCCAAAAGGTCACGTGAGAGCCCTAGAGCCGGTAAGCTCTCAGCGCCAAAAAGGCAGAAGGTGCCGCAACCTTGCGGTACAAGCAATAAGGTGGTGAAAGCCATAACCTACGCAAGTGCAGCGAAGCAAATTTCCGGCCCCCTTCCGCCGAGCCATGCGGACAAAGGCACGAAGGAGGGTGCGGAGAAATGGTCGACGGTTACCAAAAAACCGAAGAAGCAGCAGCCAAAAAAGCAGCAGCAGCATAGAAAACTCCCTCCACGCACAGACGCACTAGTCGTCAAGTGTGGCGAGGGCATGCAGTATGCCGACGTGTTAAAGTTGGTGAAAAACAACCCAACTTTACAGCAACACAAAGATTGCGTCAAAGGCATACGGATGACTGGTAGGGGCGAGCTACTCATCAAAATGATGAAAACGGCCGACCCAGCCACATCCAAATTACAGAAGGCAATGCAGGAGACTCTGTCTGATAAGGCAGAGGTTAAAGAATTGAAGGAGCTAGTCCAGGTTGAGATTAGGGACATAGCAGAGTTCTCGTCGAAGGACGATATCATCCAGGCGGTTTTCGCCAACTATGAGGGCGACATCCCACCTGCGGCCATTCCTTCCCTAAGGAAGGCATACGGGGGCACACAAGTAGCCAGGTTGAGCATCCCGCCCGTTCTTGCGGAGAAGATCCTAGCAGAAGGAAAAATCCGCATTGACTGGGCGCACTGTAGGGTCCGTAAGTCCGATGAGCCAAAGCGATGCTATAAATGCCTCGCATTTGGTCACATGGCCTTGCACTGCCGTAGCAAGGTCGATCTGTCCAAAGCGTGCTTTAACTGCGGTGGGCTCGATCACGAGTCCAAAAGCTGCAGCAAAGAGGCACGCTGCCTATTATGCGCAAAAACCCAGGGCGCAAACAGCAAGCACCACACGCTTAGCAGAAGCTGTCCAGCTTATCAGCAGGCTCTCAAAGCAAAGGGGAAATGAAAATTCTCCAATTGAATTTGAACCATTGCAGAGCGGCCCAGGACTTGCTTGCACAAACGGTGCGAGCCCTAAAAATAGACCTGGCCATCTTGAGCGAGCCATACGCAAGTAAGCACGATGGGATTTGGTTTCAAAACTCCCAAGGTGGTGCAGCAATTTGGAGCTGCAGCCCGAGACCACTGCAGATCCAATGCCGGCATTCAGGCAGAGGTTTTGTCAGGGCGAAGGTGGGTAGCCTTACCATCTATTCGTGCTATATTGCACCCAGTGTCGACTCGCAGACATTTGGCAGCATTGTTGACGACATTCTGGAGGACGCCAGAGGACGACACCCCATCATCATTGCCGGCGATTTCAACGCCTGGGCAACGGAGTGGGGCAGTCGCCTCACAAACCATAGAGGCCACATATTGTTGGACGCTATTGCCCGGTCAGGCCTCACTCTGGCTAACACAGGGTCAGCCAACACATTCGAGAAGGCGGGAATGGGTTCAGTGATCGACATCACGTTTATGAGCCCAACCTTAACCAGGACGTCAGCATGGCAAGTCTCAGAGATATATACCGGAAGCGACCACCGGGCCATCACCATGGAAATAAGAGACGGGCGATATAAACGCAAAAACATCAATGCGTCCACTGGGTTCCGAGATTCTACCCTCGACCCGCAAGCCCTGATCTTAATGGCGGAAGATCTCGTGTATGACGAGCGTAAGAACGCCAACGAAAATGCTGTATGCATTAAAAAAGCAACCTGGTCAGCATGCGCAGCTTCCATGGAAAGGAGACGTGCTGGCGGAAATGGGTGTCCCCCGGTGTATTGGTGGACCGATGCCATAGCGGAGGCGCGCAGGAAGTGCCACCAGGCACGAAGGCAATATATGCGCTCTCGAGGTAGGCCGAACTTCGCCTCACTCCAACGCCTCTACAAATCCTTGCGGACGGCTCTTAAAAAGGAGATCTCCGCGAGCAAGAAACAATGCTTCGCTAAACTATGCGATGACGCAGACACACGTCCCTGGGGCACAGCGTACAAGCTGGTAATGGGGAAGTTGGCGGCCTTCAGCCAGCCCACCCCAACATGTCCTGAGCAGCTCAGCAACATAGTGGCGCACCTCTTCCCGCCGAGTGTAGTACTGCAGCCACAGCAAGAGCCCTCCCCGCTTCAAAGTGAGATTTTTCCCACGTTCACAAATGCTGCGGAAGTCTTGGCTGAAGTTAGGAGAATCAAAGTCGAAAAGGCCCCTGGCCCAGATATGATCCCTAACAAGGCATTAAAGATAATAATGACGGAGAGATTGGAGATCTTCGTAAAGCTCTTCAATGCCTGTTTCGCACAGAGAACGTTCCCTGAAGCCTGGAAAATGCAGAGATTGGTACTATTACCCAAGGGCAGTCAAAATGACAACCTTGCGGCCTATAGGCCACTCTGCATGCTCGACACTGTGGCAAAGGTATACGAGAGGCTAATCTGCAACCGCATCGAAGTTGCACTGTCCGAGGGTCCGGGCTTATCCCACAATCAATTTGGTTTCAGGAAGAAGCGATCCACAGTGGACGCGATCGGGCTGGTACACAAACTGGCCTCTGAGGCAATCCAGGGAGCACGTTGGCGAGGCGGTAGCAAAAAATACTGCCTTGTGACTACCCTGGACGTAAAGAACGCATTTAATACTGCCAACTGGGTGCGGATACTCTCAGCCCTGAGACGTTTACAGGTCCCCAGCTATCTGGTGGACATAGTCTCAGAGTATCTTAGCAACAGACAGCTTCTATATGATACTGAGGAGGGCCGTCGAAGCTATGCAGTTTCAGCAGGAGTTCCCCAGGGCTCGGTGCTGGGCCCTACCCTCTGGAACTGCATGTACGATGGAATACTGAACCTACAGCTCCCTGAAGGAGCTACGATCATTGGCTTCGCAGACGATATTGCTGTCGTCGCAGTAGCGAAGCACCTAAATGAAGCCGAAGCAGTAACTAATGCGTCTATCGAGCAAGCTTCCCATTGGCTATGTGCTAATGGCCTGAAGCTCGCCGAGCACAAGACGGAAGCCGTCTTGATCAGCAGCAGGAAGGCAGTAGAAACCGCCCAAATAATAGTGGGTAGGACAATTATACGGTCCAAGCCCTTCATTAGGTATCTTGGCGTAATGCTGGACCACCGGCTTACGTACAAATTCCATTTAGAGGTGACGGGCAACAAAGCGGCCAAAGTTGCCACGTCTTTAGCTAGAATGTTAGGGAATGTTAACGGGCCAAAACAGCAGAGCAGGCGCCTTCTGGCAAATGTGGTGAAATCCACAATCATGTATGCGGCACCGATCTGGGCTCCGGCCATGACCTCGCCCACATATAGTCGCTCATGCAGGGCGGCATACAGACGCGCCGCACTCCGAGTTATATGTGGCTTTCGGACCATTTCCGAGGAAAGCGCGTTATTGCTAGCCGCCACGACGCCCCTAGACCTGCTCGCAAAGCAGGCGCAGGAGCTGGCCGGCGAATTTGCATCGATCGAGGAGAGTAGAGCCCGCGTGGTCTCAGCGTGGCAAAACCGGTGGAGTGGAAGCACAAAGGGTAGGTGGACGTACAAGCTACTGCCAGATGTGAAGCGTTGGGTTGAAAGAAAGCACGGACAGGTTGACTTCTACATGACGCAACTGTTGACAGGACATGGGTGCTTTAAATCCTATCTTCATAGGTTTGGGCACGAGACGGACCCGTTCTGCACACAGTGTACTGGGGCAATCGAAGACGCAGAACATGTTTTCTTTTTATGTCCGAAATTTGAAGCTATAAGGCATGAGCTCAGCCTAGCAATTGGGAAGCCGTTCACGGTCTCTGACCTGATGGATACGCTACTGGGCTCACAAAACAATTGGGATGCCGTCAGCAAAATGACAGTCTTTGTCATGAAATCCATGCGTCGCGCTGAACGTCAGCGCAACCGTCGTCTAACCTAGTTTAATTCCTAGTTGCGGCTTTTCAGGCCATCTCCCCCCTCGCGAAGTAATACCCAAGGTTAACCCCTGCGGTTGTACCGTGAGAAGGGAAACGGAGAGTAGGTTCGGGGTTTTACTGGGTGAAAGACCCAGACTTCGGCTCTTCAAGCTTTACCACCTACTATAAAAAAAAAAAAAAAAAAAAAACACCGAGTCCCCATGGCCAATACACACATACATACGGCTTTAACCCTTTAAGCGCCGGATGGGCAAAACTGCTCGCATAACACTAACCGAACACGAACGATGCCACTAAGCGACAGTAAAGTGCAAAATTCGTGCACCGGAGTGCATGAAATGTCGATGAAATTCATAAAAACTGCTC